GCTGTATAAAATTATTTATACATTATGAAAAGCGCAAAAATTGAAAAAATTTTGATATATCAAGTTGTCTGTGAATGTAAAAAATTGAACAGACTTGACTAGTTTTTCAGATTCTTTCTTTTCTTTCTGGTAAAATCTTATTGCACGTTTGAAATTGAAAAAAAACAAAAGGTTAGGGCAGTAAATCTTTTTTGGTAAAACCTTACAGTTTTTAAAATAGGCCGTTTGCCATTGTCTGTAAAGATCTCAATGGTATTCAAGCCAATGTTATATGGATCATCCCATGAGTTCAACAGTATAAATCTGAGCTCCTTGCCTTTTGGAAGTTCGGGTATTTCAAATTCGTCACTAAATAACAGAAAAATTGAAGTAAAATAAAAAAAAAAGTTTTCTTCAGCTTTATTTTTCACTTTAATTCTTAGTTTAAAATTTTTATTAGAAAGAAAATTTTAGCAAAAAAAAAATTGCCTTTTAAGCGTATTTTTCTGCTTTTTTTCTTCTACTCAAAAATTAAAGCTTGTTTACACAGCTAATAAGACTTTTAATGCTTTATTAGGCATTAGCCTAGTCAAAGATGATTAGAATATAATATTAAATAATAACAAAACGAATGTGCAAAAAAAGAAACATTAAATACTTTGCAATAGAATCATTGCTTTCTTTATTGCCAATAACGTTACTTGAACTTTGGGCCATTTGAACAGTGTTTAAGCAAACTACATCTCCAAAATACCTGAAAAAAAAAAAAGGAAGCAGAATTGTTAGATTATTTCAGTGGTTTTTTTTAAATAAAATAATCGGAAATTTGTTTAGATACAAACTTCAAATGTGACAAAATAACAAATAGGTATCAGAAAAAGAACAACAACAAAATCAGCAGCAAAATTAATTTAATAACTGCAAAAAAATTTGCAAATGATCACAGAGGATACTGACCAGTTGAAAATCATTTTTCAACAACTAAATTTTGAACACTGAACGCTGCTTTAAAAACACAAGAAAAAAAAAATTAATGTTGACACGCATAACTTGAGAAAAAAAAAAAA